AAGCCAAGCCAAGCCAAGCCACACAGAGAACTTGAGGCAAAACAGCTGCCACCGGAGGGCCCCCCCGGATGGGATTTGCCAGCCCCGTTGCCTGTAGGGATTGTCACCAGCTAGGCAGCCATCACCTGAACTTCTCAAGGACCCCTCGTCTAGGATAGTGGGGAGAGACTGAGTGTACAAATCCTCTTTGCATAGAAACGGTTCTAGCTCATCATCAGCTTCTTGGCCATCAGGCTCCAATATGCCTGGTCGCCCCCAGATTGGCAGCAGAGCCTCAGAAGCATCTCCGCAGTGATCCAGCTCTCTCAGAAACTTCTGGCTTAGACCTACATCGGTAACTCCCTTGCCATACAGTTCTTGCTGTTTTAGGCTTGCCACAGAATAGTCTAAAATCCAGCCTTTGCTGCTTGAACCAAAGACCTCATGGCCCTCCTCGTCAAGCCCCAGACACTCCTGTCTTTCCTCCTAATTTGCTGCTTCCTTCCCATCTGGAATTATATCTGCCATGCAGGGAAAATCTGGCTTCACCTCTCCACAATCTCTCATTTTTGACATTAAGGACTCCACGACCTGATTCCTCAAGCCCAGAACGCCCTTTGGTGACCATTCTTGGACATGAGACTCAATATGTGCTGTGTCCAGCTCTGGAGCTTCCTCCTCTTGATTGCATTCCTGGACCATTTGTTCATGACTGTCTAACTCAGACTTTAAAATGTCCTTTGTATGTGTGTACACGTCTAAAAGGTCTGGGTATTTTATTCCCAAATTGACTACCTCAGCTCCAACCTGAGTTGACTCCAAAACTTCTCCAACATGTGTGCCATCACCTGGATCATCACAAACACAATCTGACTCCAGGACATCCAACTGACACCCTTTTTGATCTAGATTCTCTGTGTACAGGTATTCCAAATCTGCCAGATGCTCCTGATCCCCCACCACACCGTCACAAGGACCATGCCCACCCAAAAGGTCCTCTCCGGAGTCTAGACTTCCAGCCTCATATCTGTCCATTTCTGTCACCCCTGGGTGTCCCTGCCCTGACTCCAGAATTCCCACAACCCTTCCGGGCACAACTGACAGCAAGGTGGCATGTAGGTTGCACCTACTTTGAGGCTTTTAGGCTGCTGCCGGACCTCCATGGCATGCTTCTGGCGTAGTTCCTGTTCACGGCGTTTATTGTATTCCAGCTGGTTTGACAGCTCAGTTTGGTGTTGCAGACGGGTAAGCTCTGTGCGCGTACGCTGGACAGTATGAAGGTGACGAAATTCCAACTCCTGGGTGGACTCATGCTGGCGCAGCAACATGGCGCACTCCAGATCCTTCTGTGTTTGTTTCTTGTTCAGTTCCTAGAGGCCGGGGGTGGGGAAGAGAGCAGAATGAGAATGTTATGTTCCAGAAAGAGTTATCTATGGTTCCAATATATATGAAATACTCAGCACTTTTCTTTCTTTTGTCCAATGAGTACTCTCTTCTCTAATGGCCCAACAACAGAAACCCCTTTTCATTGCCCTTTGACTTAGTATCCTATTTGTGTAAGTGAACAATATGAGAGTTGATACTATCAACCGTGACATCCTTCTGGAGCATCTAGGGACTGGGAGTGGTTCTCCTCCTTTCTCTGTAGTTGGGTTTAGTTGGTGTTGGCAGGGAGATCAAGTCTGAGACTTTTGACACACATGGTGGATTAGAACTCAATGCACCCCACACAATATGCCTGACATGTACTATGTACTATCTAAACAAGACTGCATTGGGTATCATAATTATGATCTCCAACTGTATGTCTTGACTCTGGGCTGATCAGGTGACTGTCACAAGGTCTTGTTCCAGTCCTTGAGGTTATGTGAATCTGGAATGGAAAGAAACACCCAACTCTGAGAAGACTGAGTGGTTTTGAGTATGTGTACTACCCAGATCTGGAGAGATTCTAACTTTGGTCTTGAAAGGGCTAATACTTTCCCCTTCAGGACTGCTGCACGATTTGAGGATTTGCATGGACTCCCAGCTCCTGCTCAAACAGCCAGTGGCAGTTGTGGCCAGGAATACTCTTAGGAAGTTGCACTTATCCATAGACTTCCAGGGGCAATTCAAGATGCTGCTTTTCTCTCTTTCTAAAGCTCCAGTTTCCATAACCTTTAACTAGGTAAAATGGTGCTTTAGGCAAGAATTTTTGAACAGACGGTCCCTCAAATGGATTCATTTACTTAATGTGTCCAAAATCTGGGACCCATAACCCCGATGGAACTGAAATTTGGCAAATTTTATGCAACATTTTATGACATCAAAATGATCATAAAACAGTTTATGACATAATACATGCCATAAAATATTTCCTGTGCTGATGTCTGATTGTGCTATGCAGTTCAACATAGGCAGTTTTTCCAGTGAAGACGCTACATGAGAGCTTCTGTCATTCAGGAATCTGGTAAGGAAACATCTCTGAAAGGATGGCCAGATGGGTCACTGGTTGCCTAGTTACCTATAATGCACGGTGGATTGTCTGTTCATGACTGGCACTGTCAACATGGTCTGATTCCCATTTATTTACACAATGGAACCAAAGAGTGTGGGCTTTTTATGCTGCAGAGCCCCCGTCTTCTAAAATCATTCCCTTCAGGACTCATATAGCCTCCAACCTGGCATAATTTAAACAACCTCTTAAAACCTGGCTGCTCTCTGGGCCTTGGACTAAAGTTGATGGCAGACTCCTCCTAACTAGTTTGCTAGAGGCTGTGCTATTTTCCCTCAGAACGGTTTATATATGGTTTTGTATTGTAATATTTTAAACAGTTGAATATTACACTCTGTTCAGAGTTGCTATGGAATTGGGTGGCCTAACTAATTTAATTAAATGGCATTTAATTAATAAATGTCACAAAGAGCTCGCAAAGGCAGGCATTCAAGTAACTGCTCATTATGCCATCTTTCCAAAGAGATACGGGTGGAAAAAGGGATACACAATTTAGCCTGCTCAACACACCCACCCCTCAGAGTACATCTTTTGCAGTTTTGCTTTTCAAGCACAGACAGACACCCCCTTCCTGCTCCCATCAGGCACCCATTACTGGTCCCCACCTCCCGCAGCAAGTCTTGGTCCAAGTTATGGCGTGCCAGCAGCATCTTGCGTTTGTATTGGCGACATTGCAGCTCAAAGTACTGCCGCTGGCGCCGCAAAAGGTTGGCCTCTTCCTCGGCCTGATAATGTTGCATGTTCTCTTTTTGTCTGAGCAACCATTCCTGCTTTTCCCGCTTGGGTGTGCTCTGATTCTCCTGCAACTCCTGCAAAAGGAATAACACAAAAAAGTGAACACTCCTTTGTTGACACATAGGGCTAAGCTTTGGCTGTTGAAGGGCAGCATGTTCACAAACTGCAATGACCAAGTTCATCTGACACACTAACACGCAATTCAGTATATCGTTGAATTATGGTTTATGTGACATGCAAATTTAGATGTGGGGAAGTATAGTCATCGGCCCTCCAACATTTGGGTACAAGACTGGAAAAGACTGTGGGTAGATTCCTTCAAATAGGATCAGCCCAAGGGTTTTGGAATACAGGTCTCATTATCTCCCGCTCATATATCAAGACATATATTGAGGACAGCTATCTTGGCAAACGGTTCATGGCTGAGATCAACAGGCCCAGAATTCCAAAAGAATGCATATAAATTATACCTTCAGGCAAATTTTCATTTCCTTTTTAATATACACCTTTTTGGTTTTATCCTGGAGCAACAACAAACACGAGGACACAAAACCCTCATGTCTGCCACAGTTATGTGTTTGCTCAGTAAATAAAAATCCTTATCGTGTCATCTCAGGAAAACAATATTTCTATCTTTCTCTTCAAAGATACAGGCTCCATATCATTATAGGAACTGTCAGCACGACAGCATAAATCTCATTTGGTCATTTCTGGTCTGTTAGGACGTTGTTTTCCACATATTCCTAAAAATCAGTTAAATGCCTCATTTTACCTTCCCCCAAAGAAAGAATTTGCATCATTATACATGAAGTTAAAAAAAATCAAAATAAGAGAACAAATTGCGAGGAGAATTGCTAGAAGTTGGGTGAGATGTAAATTTAACTCATCATCTTCATTGTCATCATCACCATTGCCATAATCTCTGAAAGGCTTCATAGTCACAGGCAGAGGTAGGGAAGCAAAAGGAACTTTGGAAAGTCAGCTGCCAAACTAGTGTGGGTTAATGAACGTTTGGCTTCCTGCTGCTATGCTTTGCCACCCTTCAAATCAGGATACCTCTTTCAGCTGCTCCTTCCGTAACTTATATTGGCGCTTCTGTGATTCAAGTAAGTTGCCCAACTCCTTCTTCTGTTGACCCAAGATATGTTGCTGAAATTTCTTCTCTTCGGCCAGGGCAGCTTTTGCCTGCAGAAGTGGAGTGGAACAGAAAGATGGTTTAGCCATGCACATAGCCATGTACATAGTCAGAACATCATCCAAGGAGACGGGAGAATGGGGGGAAACTAGTCATTACTGCACATGTTAACTAATAACTTTAAACCATCCTTTAGAGCAGAGGTCCCCAAACCCCGGCCCATTGGAAAGCAGGCCACTGAAGTGGGGGGTGAGTGCAAAAGTTTCATTTGTGCAGGATTTAAGTTGCATATTACCAAATCATCCCCTCCGAAACTGCCAAAGCCCCCGCCACCAATTCGTGGAACCAAAAAGGTTGGGGGCCACTGCTTTAGAGAGAAATAAGAAAGGGTACAATTTGGTCTCTAGGAAGAAATGGAAAACTGCTGTGGGATGAAGAGCTGATGAGTAGATTGTCTCTTTGTAATTCCTTTCTGGACAAGGAAAGGACTTGAGATTGCCCACAAGTGCACCAGACAGTTTGGTCCTCAGGAGGAGACCGCAACACTGCAATCTCTGGTAGATTTAGAGGTCTGTGAGATGAATTATCTTGCTCAACCCATAGTTGGAGCTTTTAAGGACAGTAGGTTTGGGTATTAATTTTTCTAATCACTTTTGGAAATGCTTGTTGACTGCCGTTCAGCTACTGGGTTTCCCCCAAAATAAGATGGGATCTTATTTTCTTTTCACCCCCGAAATATGGCCTTATTATCGGGGGTGGAGGGAGTGGGCAGGGGATGGGCTGGGCCGCAAGACTCCACTTCAGTTTCTGAAAAACGGCACCGCCAAGCGAGTGAGTGAGGCTGGCTGTGACGGCTCTGACTCAGTGGGGCTTATTAAAAAAAAAGGGGGAGAGAAAGAGAAGGGCAGGAAAGGAAGGGAAAGTGAGGGGGAGGGGCAGCTTAATGGGATATTCGATATCCTGTAAGGTGCATTTCTTGCCCTGGGACTTTTTCCCCCCTCCTCTTTTTCTTTTCATAAAGCAGAACCGCACCAGCTGGACAGGGTGGAGATGAGGAGGGCAGGATGCTTGGGATTGAGGGGTGACCGGTGAAGAAAAACAGGGAAGGAGGGAGGGCTTTGACTTTCTCAGCGCCTCTCCCCTCCTCCTTTAACCTGCCCCACTCGTGCATCCTCTTCCTCCTCCCCCCTTTCCTCCCTCTCTCCCTCTCTGGGAACAGCACTTTCCAAAAGGCGCTGGGAGGAAAGGAAAGGGCGAGCGACATCACTGAGCATGCCCGTTCGGACACATTTAACAAAAAGGCAGCCTGGCTGTCAAAAGGAGACACCGCACCCGCTCGAGGTGGGCTTTGGCAGGTGGGGTCCTGAGAAGTTTGGGGGCCACGTGGAGACGGCGAGGGAGATAGAGGGGGTAGGGTGGGTGGTAGGGCTGTTGGGTTTCCTTTGCCGTACTTCTTCTGCATGACCACCGGGTGACACGTGACGGGCTGGGCAGAACGTGTTGCTTCTCTAGAGCAGTGTTTCTCAACCTTGGCCACTTGAAGATGTCTGGACTTCAACTCCCAGAATCCCCCAGCCAGCGAATGCTGGCTGGGGAATTCTGGGAGTTGAAGTCCAGACATCTTCAAGTGGCCAAGGTTGAGAAACACTGCTCTAGAGCCCTGCCAACCTTTTGGGGCAAGTTTCCTCCCCCACTTTTCCTACTTGGAGGTAGGGAAGGGTGACCAAGGGGCTGCGCCCACCCAAATTCTCCCCCCCAAGTTGCCGCAACCATCCAACACGGGCCTGAAGGAGATCCGGGTGCAAAACATGGCACATTTAAACACATGCAAAAAAAATAAAAAATAAAAATCATAACCCTCTCCTTTCTCCTCACCCACGTCCCCTACCCATCCTGATTACCCCTACCTTTCAGATTTGGTGAACTCCCGAAAAGCCTGCTGTCTCTCGCTGCGCATGGATTTCAATAGTTTTTTTGGGGAGGGCTTATTTTTTGGGAGGTTTATTTTAACCCATGTGCTGAAAAGCCTGATTGGGTTTAGTATCAGGACGTGTCATATTTTCAGGGAAACACAGTATTAGGAACCTTCGGATTGGCAAGTTTTACAACACTGGATGAGTTTCCTTCAATCCTCAGTGAAAAAAGTTTTAAACACAAGTTTAAGTACTTAAAAAATATTTTAGAATAAACAAGCAAATAATGGTTGACTTTTGAAAATTGCAAGTCAATTAAAGATAGATTTAAAATATAATTTGGGAATTAATTGAAAGAATCCTTCCCATGGGAAAATTATTTTGTTTTGAATTCTCCCAAAAAATCATGATGACTTTGAAGGTTCAACGTTAGAGGAACCAAAAGGAACTAGATTACAATGAAAGAGGAACACAGCTACTAATATAAGATCAAGCAAAATATTTTAACGTGGGATACATTGAAAGACTGCCTTGAACAATATCAATTTTACAAGTGTCTACCTCTAATTAGACTGCTTCAAGGATTTTAGGAAAGAGGAACAGGTTTTACTTGAGCTGAATGGGTTTAAAATGACAGCTATAGTAATAATATGAAAAAGATATTCTGGACATATAAAAGAAACTGGCTGATGTCTTAGTAATTAAAAAGGATATTATACTAAGAGAGTAATTTTTTTATACTCAATTTACAGAAGAAAGTTTTGAAGAGTTTTGTAGAGGGGACAAAGAAAATATGAAAAAAGTAAAATTCTAGGACATTATTTAAATGGATCAGGATTGTAAAAAGCAAAAGGAAAGAATATCAAGTTGATTTCTTTGTTCAAATTAAAATAAATATGGTGTTTATGTCCGTAAACCTCACAGTGAACTTTTGCTGACCAGGATTGAGATGACAAGAGATGGGAAGCAGGAAGAAGAGATCATGTACTATATTTTAATAGAAGGTATTAAGTTACTAATATTTCTTATATTTGTGATGAAGCAGAAGTCACTTCTTTGTATAGTTCTTTCCCCCCCTTTATTATATTCTTATTTTTGTATCTTTTCTATTTTTCCCCTTTTCTGCACTTTCTATTTTTCTTTGCATTCTTTTTTTAGTTGTATTGTTTTAATCTCTATAATTGTAATCGTTAATATAAAATAATTGTATCATTTGTACAAGGCATAACATCTCCTTGACAAGGAGATTTGGTTGCAAACACCCTTGTCTAAATTATTCAATTCTTTGGGGGAGGATGTTTTAATTTTAAAGAATAGATCAGATCCAGGAATATATGGACCTGTTATGATTGAAGCTATTTCTGTTTTGGATAATTGATTTCCTTGCTTTCAACAGCAAGTTAATACTGATCTACCAAAGTGACCAGATCATTGCTGATTTGGCCAGAAGGAATGGGAACAATCAGAACAGTGTGAGTTAATCAGAGAGGCTCTTCCCAAGCAAACCTGCAACATTTCATTGAATCTCACAAGAGTGGTGTACAAATGTATATGAGAAGGCATAATCAAAAGGAAATAGGGGAAATAATTACTTCAATTTGGAGAGTCTTCCCCAAGGATTAAAAATATGCCACCTACAACAGTTGCCGGTACTTTGGTGACACCCCTGAAGGTGGTGATTGGCTCAATAAGAATGGGTGACAAAAATACCAAAGTCTCATGAAATTACCATCCATTTGCAAGATTTCAATCTTCTCTCATGAAACTTTGCACTATTTCAGGCAAGAATACAGAAATATTTCCAATTTTTGGGATTAGTATTAGCAATTCTGACAATTTTTCCTTTCTTCCTTTCCTTCTTTCCTTTTGAAATAAGCTGTTTTAGTGCCTACTCTACTAAAAGGGGCTTAATTTTTGTGTTACCGGATATCAGGTTCCTACTGCAACTTGTGCTGGAGGCCAAACTTTCCCACTTTCCCGTTCTCACAGAAATTAATTTGTAGTTTCTATCCCTTTGGCCAAGTGATCTCCCATCTCCCTATCCAGGTCTCCCGCCCTCACCTCTTTCTCAAAAATAGCCTGATGCTTCTTGGCCAGTTTTTCAGCCTCAGCTGAGAAGTTGTTGCGGTGGGCCTCAAGCTCTTTGTCGAGGCGCAGCTGGTGTTCATCCAGCTCAGCCCGCAGTTTGTTCTCCAGAGCCAGCAACTGTTTCTGATGTTGACGCCGCATCCGTTTGTAGCCGCTCATCTGATCCCGCAGTGCTGAGTCTTGCTCATGCTCCTGGATTTGGCGAGTCACCTGAAAGGAAGAAACAGAAGAGAGGAGGAAGAGAGAAACAGGAAAATCTAATTTAATCCAAAATTGTGATATGTAAACAACACCATGCATGAATTTATTACGGAACTAATCCTGCCATGGGGTAAGAGGAATAATACACTGTGTTGTGCACATTCAGATCTGAAGCAGGCAAGGATCTTCTGATTTGGTATGAGCATCTTCTCACTCCCTTTTTACTGATCCTTGACGAATCATACCTTTTCCTGGATTTGCACGGTGCCTGAAGGGGCTCAGGAAAAAT